GAACATGAAATGTGTGTCCATTTCGATACTAAGTATTATAATGGCTTTATATTTCATCAGTAGCCATTACTAAATCTGGTGACAGAATTATTCATCTGTCTTATAGTATTTTGTAAATTAATTAGCCTGCTGAATATTAGCGATGTTTGTCTAATGGTGAATACTTTCATTATTGACTAGCTAAATTACAAATAAGTAAAATCACCTTATAGCGCTTGAGTCGATCTGTTTTACCTACTTAAAGACTTCTGCTACAGTATTTGGTATAAGACATACAATATAAATGTGCTCATTGTATTTCCACATTTCTCTTCAGCTACATACAACCGTAAATCTACATCAAATCAATAAAATAAGAGATATTTTTTCTGTACGAAGCATAGGTAATCATAGAAATTGCGGTCCTACAGAGTGATGACGTAGTAACAATTCGTTTGGGCGGAAACTAAGCAATTATCATGAGAGCTAAGGATGTACGACGGCTGCGCATATTCGACTATCGCCGTCTCCGTAGAACTGCTTTAGTCCGAGAGCATTATGGTGTAATCCTGAGATCGGACATTGTGTTTTTGGATACGGTTGAGGTCACCATTCACTGAGTATCGTCATCTAGAAAGATCGGCTTCAGTGGCTTGGACAGGTGCTACGAATGTTATCCCAGAGGCTTCTTTACGGGTCTCTGTTTGCTAACCCTAGAACTGGAGGGGAAAAGCTGAGAGGTGGTTGGCGTGTGATACGGTGCGGTAGAATGAGAGAAATATTGTTAGGCTAACATCAGTTGGTAAATCACGACTTCTTGGTTGAGGTCCGAGAGACAATTCGAATCAGTAGCTCGAAACGTTATGATATGTGGCCAAGAATCGCAATCAGCGGTGAACATACTGTGACTTCTCCCTTCCTTCCCTTCTGATAGTAACGTGAGGTGATGTATTTTGGTTGACCTTGAAAAGTATGCTTGCTTTCTGGATGACAGCCTTTATTCATTCTCTTCCTATTGTTTTTAAATATTCTTGTGCTGCACATCTCTTGGTGCCCATATTGTATCAAATTTGTGTTCTTAGATAAAAATAAATAAAACACTTATAATAAGAATTGAAGAAGATTTGAGGTGCCTTAATGAAAGGCGTACAGTGTAGGGAGCTACAAAGTTTTTTGTCATCTACGAGCATCGTATATCACCGACTTGGTTATAGAAAATTAACATAATAACATTAGATGGCGATCTGTTGGTCTAATGGCAAGACACTGAATTTCTTCCAACTTCCAGATTACGAAAATATATTTTCACTAGTAACTATAGTTACTAATGAATGACAAAAGTTACTTTTTGATGTGAGAAAGTAACTTTGAGTTTCTGAGAGATCCTAACAAAGTACTGGTCTATTTGTATAACCTTTTGGAACATTAAGTAGTAAAGAGCTTTTGGAATGTGTAGCGTTGTACACCGGTTTTCATTTCGTTTATTTTCTTAGAGGAACATAAAGTTTTATAATTGAGCTTTCAGTTTTCGGTAGTGGTGGTGCTTTTAAGGAATATGGTTGTTAACCTCACACCTAACTCTAAAAGCCAAGAGAGATTTAGCAGCGCGTCAGACGGGATTCGAACCCGGATCAAGTACTTGGTTGGCGAACATTCCACCATAGAACCACCGAGTCCCCATTATATATATATATATATATATATATATATATATATATATATATCTTATTTTCATTTAATTCTTCTCCTCTTTATTATGTGAAATACTAAAGCTGTTAATTGTGTAATTTCCACTTCTTTCTCCTATATTCGGCTGAACTGAATTCGATGTGTGCAGTAATGTAGACTACCATAGATTTGCAGTTTCCTGAGTTATCAGTTTCTCTTTATCCCAGCTAAAAGAGACATCGTTTCTTTTAAACATATCCTAATTCAATTATGTTCAGTGAAATGATAATAGTCTGTTTCATGGATTTAAATTAATTTCATTAAAATATGTTTAATTCTTACTTGTTTTAAGGGTGTCATCCGTAGATTTACAATAACATCCTTAGAACAGTTGCTCAATTTATTTTTATGTAGAAACTATAAAATACATTTCAGAATCTATTTCTGTGTGTATAGCGTACATTTCGTTTTACAGAAGTAAGTTGATTGTAGGATAGTTCATATTAAATAAAGCGATAAATTTAACACGGTAGCCATACCTAAGAATAGACTACAAATTACAAGTACTATAAAATAATAACATCTTTATTCTGGACAGTATTTATACAATTTACAGAATTTTCAGAGGAGTTTATTGCATGATATTTCCTTTCGTATAATATCTTCAAGTAAAATATTAACTGACAGTATATCCTGTGACACAGTCGTATCTGAGCTGAAAAACAAACCATTCCATTATGGTATATCTGCTTTGTCTCCTTCAAGAAATCTACGATATCTAGTTGGAAGCCAATTGTAAGATGTTCAGAAGTACATTTTGTGATCCAAGGACTTCAGTGAAGAGCAGTTATGTCATGTATTGGAAGACGTTGTCACTCACAATCAGGTTTTCCCTCAAGTTTAATGGGAACTTGTGAATTAGAAGCTTTTAAATATTTAAAATACACACAAGAGTAGATAATACAAATAAAGGTCATACCTTAATCGATTGAAACAAACCGAACCAGAGAAAATATATTCAATAAAGACATGGAAGTTTTCAGTAGCCCAAGTTTTAAGCAGGTAGCCAACCACTATATGTAGCTAATTGAATACTATTGGACCTATTGAATTGAAGTAGATGTTAAATCATTCAATATTGTTGTTGCGACTAAAGCTAATCACGAGACTTTCCACAACACAATACAATGGATAGAACAGTGTGTTGAAATTAAAACTTTTCTTGAGTACACTTTGCCTATCACAGTGAAATTTCTTTGTATTACTTAAATATTCCTAATTTTAAACCACCTTTTAAAAATGAATACGCAAAGTCTTTCCTAGAAAATAATAATGTAAGTGGCTACAATATATACAGTGATTAAATAAATGTTACTACAACTTGATTTGATATACTTCTGTGAAGGACTAAATCTTCAGTATATTTTTGTGTGTCAACCAAGTCAAATATTAGATTTAAGTTCTAAAAGCGAGCAAAATATTTTTCTGACTAATAGTCTAGATAAAACACAAGTAATTAATCGACTTTGACACTTCTTCATTCACTAAATCTCTTGCTTGTAAGTATAAGAATGAGAAGCGTTCACTGTCCTCGGAAAACAGTCGTTTAATCAATAACTTCAGTTATTATTGTAGTAACTGAATATGTATTGATAACAGAGTTCGGTCTATATGTTTTAGACAAAGCAATAAGAATTTAATAGGAGGTTGGTGACTAGCAGTGGAATCCAGGATGCACAATAATAAGACGTAATTTGTCTCAATCGTATGCAATGTGTGTTTGCGCAACACATTACGAACAATCTGATCACACACGGACTTGTCATAGGAAAACATAAATATATGAAAATAATAAAGAGTTAATAGGTGAGAAAAATAAATTTAGGTCAAGCTAAAAGGACATACTGGAGGTCAAAATAACAATGAAGATCACTAAACCAATTAACAGAGGTAATAGTACGTCTGTTATGATATCGAAATAAAGTTTTCAAGAGTTGGTTTGTAAAGATTAGATCGGGTCCCAGTGGCTGAATGTTACACAAGCTTGTCTTGTAACCGGAACGTCCTTGGTTCGAACCGTAACAGTGGGTTCGTACCGCCGATGACTCCCATAACTAGGATGAGACAGCTATCCGGTACTCCCTGTGGCTGGTTTTCAATGGTTCTTTAACTGATATCGATTTGTAGTCAAACTTGTAAAAACAAAACAAAGTTTACCAAAGAAGGTTCAGTGTGATAACGAATTGTTTATGAACGCATAAAGGTGGTTTAAACTTTTTAATTACTAGTGCTTCCACAAACAGCCTCCTTTACCGACCTGGGAAGCATCGTTTCAACTACAGACCGACGGAACTGACGAGGATATCAAAGCTAGGATCGGAAAAGCAAGGCAAGCTTTCATTACTCTTAAGTCTTTGTGGAAGTCAACAGCACTCACCATCAAAAATAAGATCCCGATTTTCAACTCCAATGTGAAGTCAGTCAGTGCTACTCACTATACGGGTCAGAGACTTGGCGAGTCATAAAGAGCATCTCAAACAAACTTCAGACCTTCATCAATAGTTATCTTCGCTCAATACTCAAGATTAGATGGCCGGCCAGAAAAGATCAGAAACAGGGATCTCTGGGAGCGAACCAATCAGGAACCGATTGTGAAAGAAATAGGCAGGAAGAAATGGAGATGAATTGGCTGGCCATACTCTGAGGAAACCATCAAGTGACATCACTAGACAAGCCATTGCTCGAGTGAAACCCGAAAGGGAAGCGGCGAGTTGGGCGTTAGTGCAAGGGTAACTTGAAGGAGTTCATGTGAGGAGGAGATGAAAGCCTGTGGGCAGACCTGGAGCGAAGTGAAAAAGTTGGCAGAAAACAGAAGGCAATGGAGACGCGCAGCTGAAGCCCTATGTTCCTCTAGGAATTAAAGGATATAATAATAATAATAAGGTAGTGATCTTCATTGTTATTTTGACCTCCAGTATGTCCTTTTAGCTTGATCTAAATTATTTTTCTCACCTATTAACTCTTTATTATTTTCACATATTTATGTTTTCCTATGACAAGCCCGTGGGTGATTAGACTGTTCGAAATGTGTTGATCAAATACATTCACGTTTCAGATAAATTACATCTTTTTATTGCTTTGCCTATATGTTTTAGTTAGTAAGCATCTTTTTATTTTTCTAAATGCCTGAAGTCTTATGTGTATGTTTATGCGCTCCAGCTAAAAATACATCACTAATCGCAACCAAATTAACACTATACATTTAACTGTATGTGAAATGTGGTCTTCACAGGTTGTGTTTTTAAAAGTATGTCTTAATACTGTTCTTTTTACTGTTTTATGTTTTCGTATAGTTTGAGCTATTGTTTTGTGTACAAAATGAAAATGATCCGGTAATTCAGTTATTACAATCATTATGTGAAGAATACCCTCACGTGAATGCCAGACTATTTATTGGTAAGTTTTAATACAATTTAAATGTTATTTTATTGTGCCTAATTCATAAGCTAATTTTTTTTAAATATAAGTGATAAATAGTCTCTGTGTGTCGTGAATTAGCAGAGGTTAGAATTCATGAACCACTGGATAGGGGCCCAGCGGCTTAATGGTCTACGAGCTAGATCGCCTTGTAACCAGAAGGTCTTGGCTTCGAATCCTGGCGGCTGGAACGCACTGCTGAAGAGTCCCAAACTATAGCGGAAGGAGCAGCTGTCCGGTACTCCCAGGTTTTGCAGTGGTTCTCTAACCGATGTCAGCTCATGATGAAGTCCAGTAATAAATTACTCGAATTCGTGGAAATTCTACATCTGGAAAACAAACACACTTTAGCGTTTAGATATCAACAAGTGGTACTGACTCTTATTATAATCGAAATTTTTTTCCCTCGTTCTTTTATGTTCTGAATGGAAACCAGAACTTCAAACTTTTGAAGTTTCAATGATCGTAATGTTTATTTTATAGGGTGAAGTCATTAGCCTCAAGCTTATGGTTGACAGTGAATGGGACCCAAACCTTTTCGTATGGTTACTGAGTCTTCCATCACTGATTCATTGACCCATAAAGTTAATCAGCAACATATGCAAACAAACTGAGGGAGTTGCCATGAGGTCATCAATATCCCCCGTTGTGGCAGATATATTCATCGATAGGTGGAAAAACTTGACGATGGAAATGTTCACCCCCACCCCAAAAGTATGTCTGAGGTGTGCAGATGACACATTCATTGTACTCAGAAAACAGTAAATAAACAGAACTTTTGAACACATCAACTCAAAGGTGGAGGCAGTTCAATTCACTAATGCATTGGAAAGTCAGGAAGGGGAGCTTCCAATGTTAGATTGTAGCGTAAAAAGGAAAGAAGATGGAAAGTTAAACACTGGTGTTTACAGGAAATCCACACATTCAAACAGATATTTGAACTTCCAATCATCCCATCCTATGTCAGTAAAATAGAATTGGTGAAATGTTTAAGTGATAGAGCACAAAAACTAAGTAGTACCAAGGAAAATCTATGACAGGAAGTGAGGCATATAAGCGAGGCTTTGAAACTTAATGATTACCATGATAAATTAATCGGAAAGTATTTAAGGAAATGTAGAAATAAAATAAATAATGAAAGTAGTGATAGTGATGAAAATATTAGTAATATTAGTGACGACATACATGTCAAACATGCGCAGGATGATGAAAACGCCAACAATAAGGAATCTAAATTATCAGTAGTACTTCCAAACAAAGAAAGAACCTAGGAAACTTTATGCAGAATTCTTAACAAGGTAGGAATAAAAGTGGCATTTAAACCCACAAACTCAATTAGAAACAAGCTTTGATAGTTAAAAGATCCTGTGGAACCAATAAAACAAAACTATTTAGTTTATCTAATACCCTGCAATGATTCTCAAGTCAAATACATAGGTCAAAGTAGTAGAACAGGGACAGTCAGACTAGCCGAGCATAAACCTAGCAAAATGTAGATTAGTCGACCCTAATAAGATAAGAAATCTAGGGAACAGTTCAGCTACAGCACTGACCAAATGCAATTACACACAACCGTGCAATAGGAGGGATGATATGGCAGTTTTAAAATCTAATGTAACAGGGTGGAGGGAGAGATTGATAACGGAAGATTTGTTTATCGAATCAACTGCAAACACACGTAATAGGAATGATTCAACACCTGTCCCAGATATCTAGAGAATCCTACTACCCCTACGACAAATAGGAGAGAACAAAGAAAACTATAAATTGTGTTCGGAACGTCATCCAGTAAATAATACTGTTTCACCGCGTGATATATCTAATAATTCATGAATAATCCTCATCCAGGCACTAGTGAAAAAAACACGTAGTTCAGCGAAGTCTCTTTTCGGTGAATTCATTTTCTTAGCCGTACAAGCACAAATATATATAAGTTATTTTGTATGCATGTGTACATCAAAATGTCAAACAAAAACACAATCAATTATCGTTATTTTAACTAAACAGTGAATATTAGTAAGTTTTGGTTAGAGTTACGCAATACGAAAGTGGTCAAGAAAATTGTGTGTTAATGAAATTAGTGTAGTAACAAAGGTGATGAGTTGTCACAAACAGTTGTTAGAAAGGAGTTACGTAATAATATGAATAGTTTGATGATTGAGTTGTACTCAGGACGCACATAGGAACAAAGCAGAGAATACAAAACTACGTAAGAGTTGTAAATGAATACAAGAATTATAAGCAATTAAAGAAACAGGCAAACAAACAAAATTAAGTGGTCAAAAATCACCAATTTTGTTATCATGATAATAGTTGAGTTGGTTGAGTAATTCTCTTTAGTATGCACAGCTCCGGTTTTTCTACGTGAATGGCCGCAACTCCAGCGATACGAAGTAGACGAAGCTGTATTGCCTTTGGTCGGTTATTCCTGACTCTGTAGATTACTTTGAAACAGGAGGTGTTTGCTGAGATGGAAGTGGTCAGATGCGGGATCGTGTCCTTAAGGCTTCTGCAGATCTGCACATAGCATTTCGCCTGCTGCCGCAGAGCCAGGTACATCGGTCGTTTGACGCGAATCCTGTCCAAGAGGATTCAAGAACACTATCCAGCATGGTTGCGAAAAGGCAATAGTGGTGCTATAAGGAGTGTGACAATTGAACACCTGATTAACACCGATCACTCCATCTCAGCAAACGCCTCCTGTTTCAAAGTAATCTACAGAGTCAGGAATAACCGACCAAAGGCAATACAGCTTCGTCTACTTCGTATCGCTGGAGTTGCGGCCATTCACGTAGAAAAACCGGAGCTGTGCATACTAAAGAGAATTACTCAACCAACTCAACTATTATCATGATAACAAAATTGGTGATTTTTGACCACTTAATTTTGTTTGTTTGCCTGTTTCTTTAATTGCTTATAATTCTTGTATTCATTTACAACTCTTACGTAGTTTTGTATTCTCTGCTTTGTTCCTATGTGCGTCCTGAGTACAACTCAATCATCAAACTATTCATATTATTACGTAACTCCTTTCTAACAACTGTTTGTGACAACTCATCACCTTTGTTACTACACTAATTTCATTAACACACAATTTTCTTGACCACTTTCGTATTGCGTAACTCTAACCAAAACTTACTAATATTCACTGTTTAGTTAAAATAACGATAATTGATTGTGTTTTTGTTTGACATTTTGATGTACACATGCATACAAAATAACTTATATATATTTGTGCTTGTACGGCTAAGAAAATGAATTCACCGAAAAGAGACTTCGCTGAACTACGTGGTTTGTTTTCATATATCTAATAAACAAACTAACATAGAATTACTTAATACCACAATACCCAAGTTTTACGCATATATTAGATACTAGTAAAATTTGTCCTTGGAAAGCTTACTATTTAATTTAGGGCGTAACCTAAACGGGCTGACTAACTGTAAGTTAGGAAAGATGCAGAAGTTGGAATGACGTAAGAAGTGTGAGAAAATGGCTAATCAATGTTATTATTATTATTATCCAAACATATCGTCTTTTTTGTTATTTCTACATTTCTAACCCTCAATCGCATAATATGTCAATCATCTCAGTAATTATGATGTGCGTCGGTGGCACAGTGGTTAGGACTCTGGCCGATCATGCACATGGTCCGGGGTTCGAGTCCACGCCGACGCACACCTGATATCTATGGTCGGCCTGCAAAATTTGGGCTACCTATAGCTGAATCATGGTGTCGAATAGATCATAAATATGATTTATTATTTTCAAAACGCGCCTTCCTTCACTGGTATATTGCTGAAGGTATGGAAGAAACTGAATTTATCGAAGCTAGAGAAAATCTTGCTGCACTTGAAAAAGATTATGAAGAAGTCGGTTTTGGTAGTGTTGGGAAATTTCTTGTAAAAGATCCAGATAATTAATACAGTATTTATATTTATTAAAAAAAAAAAATTCATCTGAATGTATGTAAATACCTTTTTTATCAAAAGTAAATGTAAACTCTTCAAGCTGATGACTGTTTTTATTTATCTAATACGAGTGATCGTAATTAGAGACAGTCCAGCTTTTGTGACATTTATTCATATTTTACACAATACGGCATCTTAGTTATGCCGTAGTTTGTTCATAAAAAAAGGGAAAAAAGGTTAAAAATGTAAAGAAAAATGTAACATAGATGACTTAAGACCATTTCTTATTACGCACATTTTGTTCGTAATAAAAACAATTTTATCAACTAAACTAGTTTTCATTTCTCCCTTACTAAATTTGTGTGAGTTAGACATTATATAATTGTAAAGAGTTAATAACATCTCACCTATCTGAAATGAGCCATAAGAGTTAGATGTAAATAAGAATATTAAATTTTTAAATAATGGAATACGAAAGATGACAAACATTTTATCTCATGTTCCTCTAAAGTCTAAAAATCCTAGTTATCACATTTATCGGTGGCACAGTGGTTAGGACTCTTGCCGACCATGCACATGGTCCGAGGTTCGATCCCCTGCCGACGCACACCTGATATCTATGGTCGGCCTGCAAAATTTGGGCTACCGATATCCACGCTGAAAATTCCATACTTGTACCAAAAATTAGTGTGTGGCATCAAGCTGCAATAAAAAAAATACTTTGTTTGAGTTTTAGCCGTCCCCCTGTTTATTATGACATTTTAATTCCTACTTGTAATTTGATTAATTTGACCCTTGACCGGAAATTATTCTGGAACTTTCCCACCCATTTATCATAAATACACGAATGTACAGTCTAGTTGATGACTTCGTTGGTAAGGAAATTTCTTCGCTGCAACCGTCTTTTTAATAATTCTGATGATTCAATGTGTATATTCCGTGATTTAAAGTGTTTTTATGAAATCTATTTGAAATCTCAGTGTTATTAATAAACAGTAATAGAGTGATAATAAAATATGGATGATTAGAATAATAATGATAATACAATAATAACAATAATAATAGTAA